TCGTAATTTTAAAGGATTTACCGGCTTAGTGTCACAATAATGGCATAAATAATCGACTCAGGTCAGTAAAGGATCGTGCACATATTAAATAAATCAAAATGATTTTTTTTATCCAACCCATTGCAATTTTGCTAAACATTTCCATGATATTAAAAGCAAATCATTTTACGAACCCCTACTCTACAACAACATAATTTGAAACAACAAAAACTGATTTTTGTAAAATAAAAAAAAATCGCAATATAAATAACTAATTATACGTGTATTTAACTCATATGTGCCTTATATGTGTGCTAAAAAGGAAACTGTAAGTGTAAGCTAATTGTATGTATGTATTCGCCCCATCATTCTAAATGACAAAAAAAAAAATTTAAAACAAGAATAAAGAAACTCAAAGGCAGTGTACATTGCTCTCTGAGTCGTAGCTCGGTGAGGGCGGGTTGGGCGGCTGCACCGGGCGCCGATCCTAGGGGGCATCAAATCCGGAGGGGGGGGGGGGGGGTGAAAAAACAAATTAATTAACAGCTCATCATTAGATACTTTATTGAGTTATACACAGTAGAAGTTGAGCGAGTGACAGCCACTTGACTTTACAGAAATAACTTTTATTTCTACATTAACTGAACGACACCAAAATAAAAAACTGCCGACTTTTCAAAATTGGGGAGGGGCACTTATTCGCCATTCTAATACAATATTATTAAATATAAAAAAAAAATTAATCACTAATACACCTCTTGCCTGTAGTGTATTTCGTACTGGATGCCTAACGTCGTATTAAATATCGTATATCCCAAGTCAGATGCCCAGCATGGTATTGTGATGATGTATATAACGCATGACGTCCTACTTAGACTAGACAACACAAAACCACAGTTAGCAACAAGCTATTATGTTTTCTTGTGCTACAGGGCGTGTCGTATGTGTAGGCGTCTCGTATTTCAACCTCTTGTATTTCTTATCTTGTAATAGTTCCTACCAACATAATCATGTGATTGTTGTCGTACATGACTGTATTTTAACTATTGGATAAATTAAATTGTGGGACGGCCCGTGGTAGGACGATAGAGCATACGACTGCCACCCGAAAGTCTCGTGTTCGAAACCCGGAGTTCCTGTCCGTAGTGCGCACTTGAGTCCACCAATATCTGATGGGTACCTAACTCACGTTAGGGAAAGCAAAGGCAGCTGGGCATACTGCTGATCACACTATTCTTTCATATGCCGAGGTCACAGAAATAGACGAACTCTACTGCATCTGCCCCGTATACCTACTACATGTTCGAAAGGGATACTTAACATTTTAGTAAAATTAGCTACGTGCTCTCAAGTTTCTTTCAACCACAATTTCACAATACAAATCAAGTGGGCATCTAACAACAGTTTTAAATGTTTAATTCGTCGTATGTGGAAAGAATGATGACATTTCTTTAAAAAACCGTTTCACGATGTGTAATTTTCCGTGTGAAATTATTTATTATGCAATTTTTTTATCTGTGGATTTTTTTCATGTTTTTTTTTATTCCTGAGTTCTGCGCTGTTTTGTACCGTTTCTGGCCTTCTATACAGTGCTCTCCATGAAAGTAAAATGAAACCGATATTAGCAAACGGAACACTTATCCCGTTCGTCACATTCAGTAGTACAAGTCATAAAATACCACTTATCAGAAAGTATATCTGGCATGGTCAGCGTGGGTCTGAATGGCGGAAATTGTTTATGCTGTGTTATAGAGGCAAATCTAATACACCGTTCAATTGTCAGTGATCAACTTGAAAAGAGCGATAGAGAGTAAGCTAGCGATAGTTTTTTTGAAAATGGCGTCCAAAGCAATAAATCACTCTACGGCGAGTTGGTGTGGGTTGGCCAGATTTTTTAAAACTGACAGTTTAAAAACAAATAAAAAAATACGAAACGGTAGTTGGCCAACAATGGAGAAGTGGAGGGTGTTTTAGTATTGATATCAAGTCAGCGCTCAGGTAAGGGGGTCGGGATTTTAGACCAGATGGCAAAAACACCGAACCCCCTCCGCCCCCCCCCCTCCCAAAAAAAAAAATTAAAAATAAAAAACACGACGCAAAGACTTAACCGAAAAAAAAAATCACTCCGCCATTTTCGAGTAATTACAATAACAACAAATCCTGTCGTGTTTAGCGGAAAAAAAGATGTTAAAAAATAATATTGTTATTGTTGTATGGTTATAGAAAATGTGTGACACTTTTGTGTTTATTTTTAGTTTCAAGAAAATAGTTTTACAGAAAGTAACGTGCTTTTGTTACGTCTATGTGTGTGTGGGAGGGGGGGGGTGATAATCTCATTACAATTCAATAAGAGTGAGTGACAGATCTCCCCGGGGGGGGGGGGAGAGGAAGGAAGAGAGGATCAACCCTGACCTCAGGTACACGCGATGTACGTCCCCTGTAGATTGAGTGGTTTACCAGCGTGGACAAGTTGCTGTACAGGTGAATCTTGCCTGTTTGGTGAGAACTTTTAACCCCGGAAATAAAATTTATGCAACTGGGTCACCAGTAAATGTCCGTTAAAACATCAGATTCGCACCGCGGGGCATGGAAAGTGACACGCCGGACCGGTGTAACATTGGTGCATTATTAGTAGGAATACGGTAAACTTTCAAAGCTCGTGTATAGTAAGAACTAAGTATATGAAGTTAAGATTTATAAACAAAAGTTTCAATGTGTAAGTGTCACCTTAACAGGAATAACTAAACTTATCCCAGTACTCTCCATCTTTAAGAGTGAGTACGGTATTTTAAAACAAAATTGTGTTATAATATTTTGGGGTGTCAGAATACAATTGTTATTTTATTTGCTAGACGACCTTACACTGTAGAATGCACATCATTAAAAAAATGCTGCACCTCCTTTTTCCCTTACATTTTTTCTTTACTGTAATATAAGGAAGGGTCCCTATACAATTTTCAACCAGGGGCTCGGCTCAAACTTAAACTTTTTCTGCCAGGGACCCCACCCAAACCTCTCGGACCCCTTCAGCCAGGGTCGTCCCTCCCCCCCCCCCCCCCCAGCTGAATTCCTAACTTCTTCCCATCAATTCTTATATTAAGTCTGTTAACAATTTACCAAGAACCTTGACTTTACCGACCAAAAGATCAAAGACACCAAGGCGTGTTTTTTACACCAGGTACGCGTCAAGGTACATTTTCCCACAACCCCCCACCTGTTCGTGTCTCATCCATCCAGTTTTACCTGTTCTACCGACTTGACCACCTATAGTCGTCTTAGTGCGATCTGAATGCAGATATACGCTACGACGCACATTAAAAACACCGTCATACCTGGCAGATTAGGTTCTATGTCCCCCCATTGTCGAAACACAACACACAAGAATTCTTGCGTAGATAGATACAAAAGGGGGATGTTAAAAACGTAAAAATTCCTACAACTGTAACTATGTTTCTAGCCAGTTGCATCGAACCGTGAATTCTATTTAAAAATATATTCGATTATGTAGTATCGCTGATAAGAGTATTCGATAACATACCACCCCCATCTACTGTATCGGTTTACCGATAGTGAAAGATGGGAATGAAGGTTTTATTACTTGTGATAATACCTACTGTTAGCTTCTCTTTATATTGGCGCACTTAACAAAATCAAGCGATTCAGATACGAAGGTAAATTAACCATAACTTGTTAAACATTACAAGACACTGCTATTGTCTATCTAATAATAAAGAAGAATGGGGACAAATTGTAGAGAAATGTGTTGTTTTGAAGTTAATTTTATTGAAAAGTTTTAATGAATAACCGCAATTTTTTTAATGACATTGGGTATGACATAAACAAGCCCGGTAAAAATAAGGGGACATGCTGTTTCAAACGTTTTCAGGTATAAATATAATGTTCAATGTAACGCTCAGACGTAACTGTTTAGTGGAGGGGGGGGGATAATAGCTTCCTCAAAGAGATAGAACGACCCCGGGGGTAAGGGAAATAATGGGTGGCTGGAAAGGCGAGTTGTAATGGCAACATCTCCACTAGTTGTTGAAAAGAATGCGGAGAAGAGTGAAAAGGAAATAGCAGTGAAGCTAAACAACTGTGGCGGACTATGCTTTCTTCTCCCCCCACCCCATCCACCACCAAATATTGGCTCCGGTCTGACCCTAGCCGCAGGCCAATAGCAATAAGAACGAGACCCATTAAAGATTCGACTTGGGGTATTTCAAGCAAACATTGTCCACGCTACCTGTAGACCACATCGTACTTCGTCACAATTGACCCTCTCTTCCCCCTTCTCCCCCCCCCCCCAAACGGATGACTCACACGGTAGAAGAAGGTAATTAATTTGACCAAATAGCACTTGGGATACATTGGGGTCAATTTCAAGTTTTTATTCGTGACTTTTGCCTGCGGTCACATATCTTAGGTAGGTCGGAAAGCGACCCCCTCCCCCCTTTCACACCCTCCCCAATAATGCTTGACGCCTTATGTAGAAGCAGTAGGATCCAGATGATTTTCAAAGTAAAATAGAAATGGGACAATGGTCTAATTTACAACTATAAATATAGGTAGATAATTAGTGGTATTCTGTAGGTTATAAACGAGATCACCAACGTAAACAGATTCACTTTAAATTGCTAACTCTTTTTACTATCATTTTAATCAGAGAAACATCGGGGAACAGTATTAGTAGTGAACATTGTAGATTTGTTTGTATAACATAATGAAATTACATTGGGCATAATGCAGAATTAAAGAGGAGTGTTTCTTTCAGACATTTTTCTTGGGCAAAATGGGGAAACTTTAAGTGAAGTGTGTATTTTGTACTTATATTAAGTATTTTTCTACCCCCCCCCCCCCCCACCTCAAGATATACATTTAAGAAACTGTTAGTGTGACTAAACTAAACCAAAACCCTCTGGTGTGGCTCTAAACTAAATCAAAACCCTGTGGTGTGGTTAAACCAGCAGTACCGACGTCCACCAAAACCCTGTGATGTGGTTAAACCACCGTCGTTCACCTACCTGGCTCTCCTTGAGTTTCCCAACACACAGGTCTATGGGTGTCGTGTCCCTCCGTAACGACATGCTGGTTACGGATGACCCAGCCTGAAACAAAATAAACATCACGGGATTAAACGTTTGTCGCCCGGAATAAGATTATAGGATTAGAGCTCTGACTCAGGTTTTGGATTACAGGATTAGAGTTCTGACTCAACGTTTAGATTTTAAAGTTATGAATGTAAATCGTTTCCCATCTTTACGGTTTCCAAGTATAAAGAGAACCGCCTAGGAGCAGAGGCGTAGCGAGGGGGGGGGGGACATATGTCCCCGGGGCGCCGACCTTAGGGGGGCGCCAAATTGAAAGTTTGAGGGGGGTGCAAATGAAAAGTTCGAGGGGGGGGGTGCAAATCGAAAGTTTGAGGGGGGGGGGGTGCAAATGAAAAGTTCGAGGGGGGGGTGCAAATCGAAAGTTTGAGGGGGGGGTGCAAATGAAAAGTTCGAGGGGGGGTGCAAATCGAAAATTTGCTCCCGAGGGGGGCGCCAAATTGAAAGTATGTCCCCGGGCGCCGGGAAGGGTCGCTACGCCTCTGCCTAGGAGTCGTCCATAAATGACATCACACAGATGGGAATGGGGGGTCAGACTTTTTGACGGTATGTTAGGTGGGAAAGGGCAGTGTAAGTAAAGTTCTCTTTCGAACCTGACGACCCACGGGCAAGTGAAGTAGAGTTCTGTTTCTGTGATTTCAATATATGAAAGGATAGTGTGGTCAGTCGCCTTTACTTTCCCTAAGGTGAGTCAGGTACCCATCAGAGCTGGGTGAACTCAGAGACGTACTAAAGACTTGAACCTGGATTCAAACTCAAGACTTTTGGGGTTAGCAGTCGTATGCTCTACCACTTGACTACGTTGTCTCATTGAGGAAGGCAGGAGGATGAAACCAGTATTTTGGTATTTTTGTTTTTAAATATTTTTTTTATTATGTGAACTGGTTAAATTTAGTTAGAATTATGGTTATTTTATAGGAAGATGTATACTTTATTTAAACAAGGGTGGGGGCTAGCTTTAGTGACGTGTTAAGATTAGTGGTTAGGGCACAATGTGACAACCATTCCTGTGAAGCCATTATATATTTCACAATCATGTAAACTTGGCACTAGGGGTAGGTTTTGTAGTTGAATTATTATTATGGGCGATATACTAGAAATAAAGTCTTTGCGCATGAACAAGCAGCCTGACAAGGGCTTCATATTCCTGCTGACAAATTGTACTCTAGGATTAGTTTTGAGAAATGTAGACCTACCTCGTTTAGTAGCTGCCTAGCATAACAAGCATTGCTTTAATTGCACACTGCGCTTACCGAACCATAAGGACCGTTCATAAATAACTCTAGTGGGAAGGGGATGGGGTTCGGATTTTTTAAAACGATGTATGACGACGGAGGAGGGGGGGGGGGGTCAGAATGTGTGACGCCACAATTTTCTACTAAAATAAAAAAAAAGGGTAATTTTGTTGGACGTACTTCAGTTAAGCATAAAATTTCAGAAAAAAAAATCGCTGTTTCAATGAAGAAAAACAAAATGTAACAGAGAGGGGGAGGGCTCCCACTGAAGTGTTACGTCATTTTAGGGTGTCTGACTTTCGGTGACGGTATAGAGATGTGTGTGGTGTGTAGTGGGTTTGGGGGGGGGGTGTAAAAATTGCCCCAAATAAAGGCCCGACGCAATAAATTGATGGACGATCCCTAATACGAACATTATCCTGAGATTAGCCATTCCAACAGCGTTATGGACAGAAAAAAAAATACGACAGAAATCCCCGGTTACAGGTGCATAAGCCGGATATAAAAACACGTAATAGGAATGTTTCTTAAGTTATTTAACCATTTTCTCCCACATATCTATTTAATCTGATCAACAAAAAAGAAATGTAAGGTATTTACTTCAACTGGAAGATCTACAATCCTTTATCACAGGAAATAGTTAGGCTACAAATTTGTTTTATGTAGCGTTTTAAATTATAGAAAACATCTCACCATGTTTGTTGGATTGGAACAAGTAAAAAACAACATTTAAACACAATTATGTAATGAGTAAAATAAGTTTTCATGGACTTAAAAAACCAAAGACTGGTAGCTTCTAAACAATGTAGCAAATCATACAGTAGTTTGAATCGATATTAAAAGCAATAAATCTACAACAGTACATTATCTAATAAATTATTGCTTTATAGCATAACTAGACTATATTTCAATTTATTAAAAGGAAACCTAGGGGATAGTGATCTGTATTTACACCTTAACACTACAGTAAGTTATTAATATTACTTATAACACTTAACATATTATCTTAGCCCTTTTTACCTTCTCATATTATATTAAACTATTAAACAAAAATGAATCATAAACCTTATCTAAAAACTAAACAACCCTAAACCAAATACAAAACCCACTTTTAAAAAGCTAATTAAAAGGTTTTATTCAAAATATTAAAGCTGACATCTAATATGAAGTTTTTACTTCAAAATCAACATCTGTTGTTTTGATACAAAACTAAAAAAGTATGATCAACACAATATAAATGAGAAGAATGTTAACAATGTTATCTATGTAACAAAAATGTTATTAATGTGATAAAAATATAAAACAAACATGTGGTTTGTCCATCATACAGCACAGCATTTCTGAAATAATCTTTGATAACTCCTCTAACTTGATTTCAGTTCACAACATAATATAACAAATCCCAGCACAATTTAATAAGATCTGGCTACTGTGGTATTCAGATGACTAGTGAAGTTATCTTAATGCAGAGGACAAGTTTAAACTTCAGTGTTAGAGAGGAATTTCCATGATCAATAACTGAAGTTTCCCAGCTGACTAATGCACTATTTTTGACCTAAATATTGATTGACACACCTATTATTTTATTTCTTTAGAAATGGGATTCACACAGATGAATTTAGACGTGAATAATATTATAACTTTCATTAATTATTGATAGACAAATGTATGGGTTTGTGTAATTATTTTCCAGTTGGAAAGAAATGACAATTTAAGCAAATAGCATAGTAACCTATGACAAATTATTCTTGAGAAAAAAAAAGATGGGATGGAATGAATGCAAAATGTCATTATTATTAAAACAATCATTGTGTTTTTTAATGAGTTTCAATCATGAACAGGTGACAATTAATTATTACACAGTTGGGTCTAATTAAACAAACATTTTCTTTTAAAAATTAACATCATTCACAAAAAAACGTTCATGATGGAGATAAGAATAATCAGGGAACTAAAAAACAAAGGTAGATGTATCTAAATCACTCAGGTGGTGCTACACCTGTTACTTTTTAAATTTATTTTCATAGATTGATTACAATTGCCATTAACAAAAGACATTTGAGTAAAAATGTGTTTAAATAGTATTTTGCTGTTCAAAACAGTGTGTCATACAATTTGTAACAATACATTGGCCTGGGTTTGAATTTTTGTTATACAACTAATACTCAATATATATTATTATATAGATCTACATCTAGTAAATCTAGTGTTGAATCTGTTAAAAATTGAATCAATCTCATAAAAATTATAAAACGCCATAAAAAGAGTAATCTCAGTAATGAGTCGCGAAGTGGCTCATTGAAGCCATAACACATTTTTATAGAATGAATATATTTGTTAGTTTCTGAATAGATCTGCAGTCTAATCTAGTAACACATGTAGGCCGAGATCTACATATTTTAGACTAAACGGTAAACGTCACAATACTAACACGGCTAATACTAATACATACTACGATAGTAATTATACTGCTGATACTAAACTCTAGTACTTGTTCCTAAATTTCCAATTAAAAAAAAAAAAAGCATGTCAGTAGCACTGCTGTCAATCGATTATTTTATTATACCAAAATAATTTGCATATTTCTAAATCTATTATCCTATGACTTAGTTTTACCTTGTTTACGAAAATGTGTTATCCTACACGAAAAGGAATAGCAGATTGACCCAGATAAACTTCGTGCGGAATGCCCCCATCGCGATCGTCACCGCTAGTTCACGGATGGGACAGTCGCAAGCTGTGTTGTGTTTACCTGAGGGAGAAGCCATTATTATTCTGATGGTGAAGGCGGGGATTCCGGGTCAAAGAGTAGCTAATTTTAGAAACTGCAAAACTATGTCATGATTCATGCACTTTCTGGCAGATAATTTTAACTAGACGTCTAGATCAATGGCAGTCAGTTTAAAAACAGTAGAGAAAAAATAACTAGAATCTATACAATTTATTCTATAACTTTTTATTTACATAAAAAATAAATAATAAAAACGAATCGCTGTCGAACTTTCCATTTTTCCGATCGATAACTGTCACCGTGTTAATCTGGTAGTGAAACGACCAAGCAAATATGAATTTGCAAGCGGTTAGTTTTTTCAATGAGAAGGCGTTTACTTTTAAAGCAACTTCACATTACGCTCCTCTTTATAAAGCTTTACATCAACACGGGTTTCGTTGCTCGTTGAAAACGAAGGCATGTTTTTATTATAGAAAACTTAACAAGGCGTAAGTTTCAACAAATCGGTGTTTTATTCACGTCTTAGTATTACCATTATGTTTACCTTCAAAGATACCAATTGCCATGCTCTTCACTAGATATATATATATATATATATATATATATATATATATATATATATATATATATATATATATATATATATATATTGACATAGAAAACTGGATTTTTTTTGTTTAAATATAATTGGTCCTGAAGTTTAATAAAAAAAAAAATTCTTGATTTTTTAAAATGTCCAGATTACTTAGATCTACGTGGAAAATGTAGGCTATATGTGTATGTGTGACCACCAGAGTTTCTTCCAGGCATCTCTTCGGGGGGGGGGGGGGGGGGGGGGGGGGGCTTCGCCCCACCGAAAAAATTCTACCCCCCCCCCCCCCCCGAACGAAATGAAATTAATATAATTTATAGAGAAAATATATACTTTTAACAGTGTCCGCCCCCCCCCCCCCCCGAAGAAAGTCTACCGCCCCCCCCCCAAAAATTTTAAGTGCCCCCCCCCCGGAGAAAAAAAGTCTGGAAGAAACACTGGTGACCACACCTCCATAACACATTCATGCCTACGCCACTGATAGCAGCCAATATATCATATTAGTCATATGTTATACATAAACATACGATATATCTTCAGAATATTCGCGCGCAGCATGGAGTATTAAAATATTCTTACACAGCTTGTGGTATTTGGGTGTTCGCATTGGGATACGACCATCGCGTGACAGACTTAGCATAAAGTCGATGATCGCATTAATAATATAAGCAAACACGCAAGCACACTCACACTACACACAAGTGACACACAACACACTGTGTCAATCATCACAAACTACCGCTGTAGTGTATTGACCACTTGTTGGTTACAATGTTTTAGCCAAACATATCAATGATAGATCTCTATCAAAACCTCCAGTGTCTGTGTTGTACTGAAATTTGCGCGAGGTAAGCTTATGGAGTCGTCAGTAAGTGACTTCACGTTATTTTGGCAAATCCCCCCCCCCCCCACCCCTCACACACACACATAGACTTTGAAAAAATGTCCCCAAATCCAAAATAAAACTTTGCTTCTCGACGATGTCAGAGTTTCTACCGCCCCCCCCCCCCCCCGAACGAAATGAAATTTATATAATTTATATAGAAAATATATACTTTTAACAGTGTCCGCCCCCCCCCCCCCCGAAGAAAGTTTACCGCCCCCCCCCCCGCCCCCGAAAATTTCAAGTGCCCCCCCGGAGAAAAAAGTCTGGAAGAAACACTGGACGATGTAGTATTGGTTCTAACGTGATGTAGATCTCTTTTTAAAAAAAAAATAAACAAAGCTGTATGCTGATATATTGTAACATTTGCATCGATATGACAACATAAATTATTCCTATTCATTAAATAAAATCGATTCGTTTCGGCCAATAAAACATAGTAATAAACTAACCACCAATGGCGAACTAGATAAAGTGCGTTTAATCCCAAGTATGCTACACATCGTCGTGTCGTGATAGGGTTGAAAGTGCTGGTATATGGTTTAGATGAGATCTCTGCTCCCAGTTGTCATTGTTAGTAAGTCAAACAATTGCTCACACCAAAATACTTTTTTGATAACTGTATTATTGTTAAATTACGTCACTTATTCGTTCTTAATTCGTTCTTGGACGGGTTCCTCCAACACAAGTATTACGTGTCAACATGTTAAGCACTTTATAATTGACCGTTTACCACGATTTCAGCCTGCTTTTCGTTTTTGGATTTCTTTCCATAGCACTTCTCCATCCAAGAACAAAGAAGCAATTATTTGATTTTGGAGTTTTCTTTTCTAGATGAGTTGCTGTCAACAGCTATCGAGCCTCGTCCAGAGTTTCTTCCAGGCATCTCTCCGAAAAAAATTTACCCCCCCCCCGAACGAAATGAAATTTATATAATTTATATAGAAAATATATACTTTTAACAGTGTCCGCCCCCCCCCCCCGAAGAAAGTTTACCGCCCCCCCCCCCCCGAAAATTTCAAGTGCCCCCCCCCCCGGAGAAAAAAGTCTGGAAGAAACACTGGCCTCGTCTGCCCGGGGTTCGAACTCGGGACTTTACGTTTTAGCAACCGTGAGCTTTACCGACCCGACCACGTTGACCCCATTACGTACTTTTTTGTATGCACAATTTGAACATTCAATATCTGAGCATTGTTACCTTTCTAAAATGCAAATATTCTAAGCCACTCCCCTATCCACTGTCACTCAAGTCTCCCCCCCCCCTTTCTCTTCCGCATCCCGCTTGTCATTCATTGTGTATAGGCTAAGCAACAACTTCAAATTAACAGCAAACACCTGTTTTACGTCGCACACTTTACGCTGTACATATTTTGATTCGTATTGCTCAATGATCGTCTTTAAAGATGTGGCCTGGAAATCTAAATTCCAGGAATGTTTTTTTTCCTCGGTCTGCATGTGGATAGTATGTGACCACTAAATTGATTACAGACCACCATTTTGAGAACCCCCGTCATAGCCCACTTATCACATAGTGCTTGTATATCCAATTCATGAATCTATTTTTATACAAATACCAGCAATCTGCTTGTGTACATTTTTACGTTTTATCACCGACAGGAGATATAGACTAAGTCATGTAAATCACACAAGAGGATTCTAATTTTAGAAATCGGGAGTTTCTTTTTTAAAAAGCGTATAAACTCTACACAAGACATGACCCATATTTTCCAAAATAAAAAATCAAACATAAATGTTCCTTCGCCGCGTTGAAATGAAAAATGAAAAGTTTTTTCTATAGCGTCACAGTCAAGTGCACCTTACATTCTAATGCTGAGTCCTTGAGAATCGTCTATCTGTTTACATGAGTGTGTAGTACCTAGGTACTTTTTAAAACACGATCGAGAAATAGTACTAGTAGGCGGAAAACGCCCCCCCCCCCACACACACACCATACGTTTTACAACGGTGTAAATGGGGAGGGGGTGTCCGTTTGAAATAATAAAAAGAACACACAACAAAATATTACTAAAAATAACAACACCAAGATCTGAAGTTTACATAATTTGATGTTATTAAATGATAAGATAATATTTAAAATGCGAATGTTTTTTTAAAAATATCATTCATTGTTAGACGACTAAGTCACATTAATCTGCCCCCATCCCCTACACATAAAAGACGAAATCCTACTGGCGCCTGCCATTATGATTATGGATTCTGTGTGGCTATAGATAGTAAAGAGCGTCTATTGCCTAAATGTGCACAAACGAAATAATTCTTGGTCCTTCATTCGTAAAAAAAAACAACTGTGCAGTCTATGTTGCGGGTTGTGTGTAAGAGGTAAAGTTAAGATTTATTTCTTTAAATGCCATTTAAAAAGTCGCTGTTTTCGAACCGTATCGCTAAATGTCACCCACTTAGGAGTTTTCTAAACACCCTGAAAAAAACGAATATACAGCCGCTATTTCTAAGTTTAAATTTCTTTTTTATCATTTGCTCGTTAAACATATTATTATTTTTTTGCATTACGTTACATATACACATATAAATACTAACACACATAAGGCCTACTTATGCGGAAGTTCATTGTCGAAATGAACATACACATACTCAACCGGCAACCTGTTTGTTTTTGTTATTGTTGTGAATACTGACTAGGATGTAAATTAGAAACAGTACGTCATAGCCTGATTTGAGCCCGTGTAGTTTGACCAAACAGTGCGCGGGGCGTTTGGAGATATTGACGTTATGTGCCGAGGTTTGACAAAAATAGTAAAAAGTTAAACATGAATTGGATTATAAAACATCATGATCCTAATTCTATGTTAGGAGAATCATATTTAGACCAATGGGTCCATTAGGATGAAGAAGAGTTCATGTTTCTTGACCTCCGCATATGAACAGAACGTGAAGTAGAGCTCATCTGCTTCAGAGACCTCGGCATATGAAGAGATAGTGTGGTCAGCACTATGCCCAGCCGCCTTTGTTTCCCTAACGTGAATTAAGTACCCATCAGAGCTGGGTGGACTCAGGGACGCTCCACTGATTTTTGAACCCGGATTCGAACTCGAGACTCTCACTCTCGGATTAGCAGTCTAGCTCCCTACAGCTTAGGCCATGTGTCCCATCTAATGCTACGTTAGCAGAGTCGTGTTTGTTTCGAAGAATAATTATCTCCTTCTCCGGGGGACGCGACTAACTCAAACTGCCCTCGCCCTCTCCGTACGAAATGGAAACAAAATATTTATACAGAAAATGTACACTTCATCCAGTGTCACACCACCCCCAACATTATAAATGCCCTCCGGAACGGAAGTTTTAAGCCCCCCCCCCCCCCCCGTAGAAAAAAATAAACTAGACATGTTAGTGTTATTACGACAAAGAAATTAATTCACGCAACTGGTATAGAAACCTACTCCCATCCCAAAACTTATCCCTGTTGTCTGGTACGGTTAAGCCCACTGTACTCATAAGACCAGACTCTAGTTAACTAACAGCTAAAAAAAACACAACCAGAATATTTTAACATTCCGCCT